ATCTTTTATATACAGTCTATGGTAGCGCCTGTCTCTGAAGTTTTTTACTTAAATCTCTTTACATTGCTCTGTACTTCTTTCCCTTTCCTCCACTCCACTCTGTATTGGTCTCTCTGAAACACCGAAGCAAACAGAGTGTTTCAACTCCCATTTATCTCGGGATTTGTGACACTGATGAAGGAGCGAGTGCTGGGTGACACTGTGTTTGTATGTGTGAGACTCTCTTTGTGTGAGTTTCTGATTGATTGTGTTTGACTGTCAGGATTAAAAGAGAGCAGAAGACCGAGCGCAGTCTCCTCTGTCATCAGGATAGCAGCCACCCTGTGAAAGACGTGCTAATGAGTTTTTATCTTGTTCCACAGTAATTAAGTTATCAAACGATGATGACAAATTATGTGTAGAATTGGTAATCTGGATGGTTAAAATGGTAATGTAGTGTTTCCCACCAATCCGTTTGAATGAAAAAGACAAAGCTTAGCATCTGGTGCCTGGAACAGGCAGACTTTCACCCCCGCACACCAAAAATCCAGGGCTTGTCTGAAGGTATTCATTATCACTGATGAGCTCTCAGCACCCGAGTAGAAAGCATATTATTAGGAAAGCTATTTTGGAGTTACTTTCTGATGAATACAGAAATTATTTGGATGCTAACTGTGCAAATGACATTTGAAGGGTGAGTTTAGCTTTAGTTCACCCTGCAGAGGACCGTGATCTTTTCACGCACACGTCGAGTTGGCAGCCACCCAGTGCAGCTACGTCACTATCTACTGCAGCTTCACCGGAGCAGCTGTTGATTAAGTGCCTTGCTCAAGGACACGCAAAGGTGATCGGGTCCCCTTCCTCACAGCATACATGTATACACGCTTTCAAGATTGGCCACTTCTGTAACACACCGAGCGAATGCCTAATTGGATATTTGAGACAACAAGAGCTAAAAAGGTGCAAAGACGTTCTCCTGTTGCTATGCACCCAACATGTTGGTAGCAGTCTAATTAGTATTAGATGGATGTGCTGCACTGACAAAGGAGATGTATTGGAAATGAAAACAAAAACAAAAAAAGAAAAGAAAAATGTGTTTTCTTTTGAAATTGAAGGTTTAGAATTAAATTGTGTGTTTTGTCTGATTGTCTTGTTCAGCTTTTCAAACTCTGAATAGTGCTTCTCATGCTAATAGCTAACGTAATCAAACTTGGTTAGGAAGCTGCATTTATATACTGCACACATGCATCAGAAAAACACATAGCCTACCTGCTAATTAGCGCTAACAGATAAAATACCGAAACTGCCTTCACTGAAACTGAGGTACGTACTTCTTAAATGGTAAATTTAAATGCACAATAAGCCATATTATTGTACCAGCAGCACAAACATGATCCAAAATCACAGTTCATTGACTTTAATGAGTACAGGTGAGGCTAATCACAATGGCTAAGCACTTTTAACCTAACATTCACACATTCGGGCGAATGGGGCGACCGTGGCTCAGGGGGTTGGGAAGCGCATCTGTAACCGGAAGGTCGCCGGTTCGATCCCCGGGCTCTCTGTCCTGGTCGTTGTGTCCTTGGGCAAGACA